AACGTGCAGCATGTCCCCTCCATCAAGAAGAATCTTGTTAGCGCTTCTCAGATGTGTCGCGATGGCTTTAAAATTGTGCTTGAGTCCAATAAGTGTGTTGTGTCGAGACATAGAACATTTGTTGAAAAAGGTTATGATTGCGGAGGCTTATTTCGCTTGTCTTTGCTTGATGATGTGTGTAATAAAGTGGTGAACAATGTTAATGTTTCGGATGAGTCGAATATATGGCATCCACGACTGTCACATTAATTTTGGCTGTCTCACGTGGCTTGCAAATCTAAATTTAATCCTGAAATTTAACTTAGTCAAAGATTCTAAGTGCCAGGTATGTGTGCAATCGAAGCAACCGCGCAAGCCTCACAAGGCTGCTGAGGCGAGGAACTTGACACCATTAGAACTCGTTCATTCTGATTTATGCGAAATGAATGGCGAATTGACTAGAGGCGGTAGACGATACTTTATGACATTTATAGATGATTGTACTAGATTTTGCTATGTGTATTTATTGAAAACTAAAGATGAAGTATTGCATTATTTTAAAGTCTATAAAGCTGAGGTAGAAAATCAACTTAAGAAGAAAACCAAGCGTTTGCGGTCCGATCGCGGGGGAGAATATTTCTCAAATGGATTTTCTGAGTTTTGCGCGGTGCATGGAATTATTCATGAGAGGACGCCACCATACTCACCACAGTCTAATGAGATTGCAGAGAGAAAGAACCGCACTCTAACTGATTTGGTTAATACCATGTTAGAGACTACGGGACTATCTAAGGAATAGTGGGGTGAGCCTATATTGACAGCGTGTCATGTCCCGAATAGGGTGAGGCTATTTTTTAGAATGAATTTCCCATAAAAAATGCACCTAGCACGACTGGTCATGAATCTATAATTTCCCATGAGCATGAAAATTTTACTCCGATAGAACAAATTGAGGAACCCTATATGCAAAATTCTGAGAATGATGACACTATAGTCACAAGAAAAAAGTAAATAAGAGGATTGCAAAATGACTATATTGTGTACCTTGTGGATGACACAAGCGACCATTGAAAGGCATATTTTTCTTGGTTACTTATGGAAGCTATTCAGTGAGATGGATTCTGTTATGTCTAATGGAACTTGGGAAATTGTTGATTGACCTTATAAATTTTAGGGTGCAAATAGGTGTTCAAGAAAAAGCTTGGCACGATGGTACAATCGAGGGGTACAAGGAATCTTGTGACCAAGAGTTATATTTTTTAGAAGGTGAATTTCTTTGATAAAATTCACCGGTAGCATGACTGGTCATGAATCTATAATTCTTATAGTCTCATGTTCATCAAATGGACATTTTACTTTCTTAAGCGGAGAATTGAGGAGGACCCTATATGCAAATATGGATCCCAGATGGGTTTGAAGCAAATGGTCACTATAGTCACAAGAAATTATTAAAGTCATTATATGGGAAAACAAGCTTGCAAAGTCTTTTGAAGTTGATGAACTTAACATTTCTTGTACCTTGTGGATGACAAACCAACGACCATTGAGGTGAAGGAGTCATTTTCCTCTTATATGTTGATGACATACTATGGAAGGACCTCAAAGTGATTGAGGAGGTGATGGATTTTTATCAAAATTTTTTGAGAAAAAGATTTGATCGACCTTTTTAATATCAAGCTTATAGAAGATGATGGTGGGATAAATAGGTATTGGAAAAAGGTGTTGAGTCGCTTTTAGGTTTAGTAGGCACTGATGGTATGACCCTAGTGTGCTATTGAGGAAAAATCGAAGAATAGCAAGGGATCAGTTGAGATATTCCTAGATCATTGGTTCACTCATGTATCTTGCTAGTGCAACAAGGACTGACATCTCATTTGTTGTGTGCAAGCTGAGCCGGTTTGTGTCATACCCGGGAGATAATCAGTGGTGTGCTCTTGAGAGAGTGATGTGCTATCTAAAAGGCACCATGAGCTATAGTATTCGTTATACCAGACATCCGAAAGTGCTGGAAGGCTATTGTGATATCAACTGGATCTCTAATGCTGATGAGTTTTATGCCACAAGTGGATATGTGTTTTCGCTTGGAGGTGGTGCTGTTTTCTGAAAGTCTTGCAAGCAGACTATCTTAACGAAGTCTACAATGAAAGCAGAACTCATAACATTAGACATCCGCTGGCTCTGAGGCCGAGTGGCTTCATGATCTCCTTATGGATTTATCGGTTGTTGAAAACCTCATACCGACTATTTCTATAAACTGCGATAACCAGACTATGATTACAAAGGTTAACAGTTCTAAGGATAACATGAAGTCTACAAGACATGTTAAGAGACGACTGAAATCTGTCAGAAAATTAAGAAACTCCGGAGTAATAGCATTGGACTATGTTCACACGTCTAACAATCTGGCAGATCAATTCACTAAGAGTCTGTCACGCAATGTGATAGAAAGTGCATCGAGAGAGATGAGTTTGAGACCCACTTGAAATGTACTATAGTGGTAACCTGTTCTATGTGATCGGAGATCCCATAAAGTTGAATGGTGAAACAAGTTAGTAGTAAATTGTGAAGAAAGATCCTTAGTACGACTCATTTCTGATGCATATCTTTTGTTTCTGTAAGGCAGATTGGTTTTTTAATGTGTTTCAAGTGGCTTGCTAAAGCAAAGATGTTGTCCTACAGAACATCTGTTGAGGAGTACACATATATGAGTCAGACTGCTGGTCACAGTCTATGAGATTTGGGTAATCTCTAAATACTTATGAAAGGCACTAGAGTATGACTTATATGCTTCAAATAGAGGGGATGCCTTTTACAGCCAAGTATCAGCTAAGGACTTTAGTGACATTCATCTCATACAAAATTGACAATTCAAGGCTTAGTCCATTGTTCAGTTGTGACTGAGTGAAACTATTGCTCTAGATGGATGTTCAACTTAACAGTCTCCATCGAAACACTGGTATATAAAAAAAATATGGTTCTGAGACTACTTTATTACAAACCCTATAGTTTGGTGGGGATTATTGGATATATTATAGGCTTAGCCCGTATAATATTTAATAAATCAAATAAAACTCTATGATACGTAACATTAAGCGTTGTATGGTTTAATATTATACGGGATTTTGACTGAACGTTGACTCAACTTATATGGTTGGAAATTATTCATCTTAATTAAGAAGCTGAGAAAAGGACATAGGCGTGCCACACGCGTGCGCGTGCGCCGCCACCGCCGCCACTGGCTGGGCCGGGCCGTGGCCGTGGGTGTGTGTGCGGGCGCGAGAGCGGACGGGGCGTGGCGAGGCAGGCGGGCGGGCGGACGGGTGGCCGGCGGCGAGTGAGCGGGCGGGCGTGGCCAGTCTTTTGCCACTTAAATCCACATAATCACAGGAGTTTCTCCCTTTGATGGTGCAGGCGAACTGATTGCGTTAGTTATCGTCCCTTCCGCTTCTCCGTCTCCTGGGATTCTCCGCTGTCTTTCTCCCTTCCCGTCGCAGCCATATATCCTCCGTCCTCCGTCAGTCCAGATCTCCGTCTTCCGCAACCGCTCCTGAGAGAAACCACAACTCAGCAGCCCTCTGGCTTCCCCGTTCCGTACCTCTGCGCGCACGGAGTAGCGGGAGAGCAGGTGCCTCCGGAACCCTCGTCCGCTTGAGAACCTTGTACGGGGTGTGCGGCGATTAGATTTTTGGGGAGCGATCCACGACTTCTCGTCCACGTACGCCTTCTTTCTGGTGGTGATCGCTCTCGGAATCCGTTTTCTTTCTAGTGATTGCCTGCGGAACAGCAAGGCGTCTTCTTCCTGGTGATCTGTTCGTGGGACTGCACTGCGAACATGGTCCTGCATTGACTGTGGTCCACGACTTCGAGCAACGCACTATGTCGACTAGTGCGAATGGAGCTTCCGATACCCTCGGCATGGGACCCTCCGCTGGATAGACTTGCGCTTTTACTGTATCAATCTGTATGTCATTGCTGCATGTTGTAGCGTTCACTAGAGATATACACATACACATATATGCCGTCACAAACCTGCTAATGTTATATTTTTGGATTAAATTCATCATAAAAATGCCTAAATTTCTAACATGGATCAGCTCCAGCTTGCAGACTTGCCTGAGCTCTCTGTTCTGGACCTGTCCAATAATTTCCTCGGTGGATCTATTCCCTCCCCATAGGTAATCTTACAAAACTTACCTATCTTGATCATTCCAATAATAACCTTTCGGGATCTATCCCAGCATCCATAGGTAATCTTACAAAACTTACCTACCTTGATCTTTCTAATAACGACCTTTCGGGATCTATCCAAGCATCCATAGGTAATCTTTCTAAACTAACTTCCCTCAGTCTCTCTCATAATTCCCCTTTTAATGGGTTTCCGAGCGGACACATCCCAGATACACTAGGCATGTTAGTCTACTTAGAGAAGCACGAGCTAAGGGGCAGCAATTTGTCAGGCCCCATTCCTAGAAGCATAAAAAATTTAGCGAGGCTGGAGCTTTTGGATCTTTCCAACAATCAGATAAGTGACATGCTGCCACCAGAATTAGGATTCCTAAAGAATCTCTCGAATATAGACTTCAGTAGCAATCAGCTTATTGGTAGCATTCCACCTCAGATAGTACAATGCGGGGTTTTGTCAGTTTTGCGCATATCAGATAACTTATTGACAGAGGACCAATACCACAAGAGCTTGGGAATTATTTTGAGTTAAGAGAGTTGGATCTAAGCAGAAATAATCTGAGCGGTACCATCCCAGCGACTCTTGTAAAGCTACACCAATTGTCAGATCTAGACTTGTCGTACAACAACTTGAGTGGCCGAGTTGATGCAACCTTTACCTTCTCAGTCGATACCTGGGTTTCACTTGACCACAATATGGATCTATGTGGTGATCGAGAGTATTATGGCTTGACACCATGTCAGAGTTCGACAAAAAAATCAAGCAAAGGAAAAAACAATGAAATGGCAATACTTCTTACTGTTGCTTGCTTTTGCTCCATCTGTTTGTACTAGGATGCATGACAGTTGTTTATAGGAGAAAATCTTCAAAAGTCAGTGACAAAAGTAAATCTCATGATATGGTCTCCATATGGGATTTTGATAGGAAGATTGCATTCCAAAGACATACTCGATGCAACAGAATGTTTTGATGATAAATACTGCATTGGTATTGGAGGATACGGGTCTGTCTTTAGAGCTGAGCTCGAAGGAGGGAGTACCTATGCTATCAAACTGCTCCACTCAGTTGAAGATTTTACTGATGAGAAAGCATTTCATGCTGAGATCCAAGTGTTGACAAAAGTAAGGCACCGATGCATAGTCAAGTTGCATGGATACTGTTCTCATTCCAAGTGCAAATTTCTTGTGTACGATTTCATCCAACGGGGAAGTTTAGCATCCAATTTGCAGGATGAACATCTTGCCAAGGAGCTCAATTGGTCGAGAAGAGTTGCCATTGTTAAAGACGTAGCTCAAGCTCTCTCCTACTTGCACCATGACTATGATACACCCATTATACATCGTGATATCAAAAGTAGCAATATCTTGTTAGATTGTGATTTTAAGGCTTGTGTCTCAGACTTCGGTATGGCTCGGAATTTGAAGCATAGTTGCTCAAGTTGGAGCACCATCTTTGCAGGGACATGGGGCTATATAGCCCTGGGTACAATGTTTTACTCATTTATTATCATAATATACAAATCCATTTGATTTTGCAAGTCAGTTATATTCTGATTAATGTTGTATTTCTTTTTGCAGAACTGTCATCCACAATGGCGTTTACAGACAAGTGTGATGTCTATAGCTTTAGTGTGCTCACCATGGAAGTAGTCATGGGTAAGCACCCAGGAGATCTGCTACTTCCATTCTTCTGCCGAACAGAGCAGTGCACTAAGCTCAAGGATATATTGGACCATCGCATCATAGTACCAACGAGTGACGAGGAGAAAGACATCATCCTGCTCATGCTTATGCTTGTGGCCTTTGCTTGTCTGCAAATCTGCCCAAAAGCCAAGCAAAAAATGCAGCAGGCATATCAAGCACTAACAAACAGAAGCTGTCCAACAGTCATCCTGAGGCCAATTCATGAAGTCAAATTACAAGATTTGCATGATTTCTGCAGCACCATACAAACTATATGATGGTTTGTAGTCTCCACGTTTAGTTGTATGGCGTATGTGTATGTATCTTGTGCGAATTTTTCAGAGACCAATGTACTGAATAATGGACATAGATATTGGACTGATGGTACATAAAACTTCTATTCAGGCAAGTAGCCCATCAACCTGTGCTGCAGCATGACCTAGAATCCTACATGAGTGTTAAAAGTTTCATAGATAAATTTGGTATGTACAAGTAATCAAAATTAATTCTCTTTACTTTCCGTATTCATTTTCTAACACATTTTCTATTTATATACTATATAATATCTTGTGAACTTACCAATTATTACGCTGTACTAGCCCATCAATCCATACTCCAGGAAGGTCTAGAATTTTATGTTACATAAGTACTAAAAGTTAAGTGGATAAATTTAGTACATACAACTAATGAAAATTGATTATCTTTACTCTCTCATTATTCATTTTCTATCAAAATACTCATTTAGATATTATATAAGCTTTATCCAGTAACGTCAATGACTCTGATTAGTTACTGCTTATGAAAATAAAAAGGAAAACAGATCTTTTAGATGAATTATCTGAAGGTTTAAAGTTTTATTAGAATTATAACTTAAGCAGTACCTGGTAGAGCTGGCCCTGATGAACTACTTTCTGAAGAGTTTGAAGTTCTTTTGTGATGCCGTAGGCAAAGCACAATCTAGGAGCTGCTGCAAGAAGTCCTAACATCTAGTTGAAGCATAAACTCTGAAGATTTGCTCTTTTTTAAAAGAGTAAAGTCCATTGGTGGTTTTTGAACTTTGTTCGACTATGTCATCTTGATTCATAAACTCACAAATCGACCGTTTAGGTCCTCAAACTTGTTCATCTATGTTATCTCGGTCCCTGAACTCACAAATCTCTCGTTTAGGTCCTCAAACTTTCGGCTGTGTCATCCCGGTCCCTAAACTTGCAAACCACCTGTTTAGGTCCTCAAACTTATTCAGTTGTGTCATCCCGATCCCGAAATGTTGAAAATTTGTAAATTCAATATATATTTATAAAACTATCTAAAAATTATGAATCCAATTTTGTTAGACTCCTGATAACATGTATTTTAAATTAAAATAAACCATCCTGTACTTTCTATTTTAAACTCTATAGTTAAATAACTAAATAGGCACATACATTTGTATATGATGTTCTGTGCTGTAAATAAATCTCATAAATTTACAGGAGTGTTCCGTAGACTATATGTGCCTATTTAGTTATTTAACTATAGAGTTAAAAATAGAAAGTACAGGGTAATTTCTTTTATTCTAATTTAAAGTACATGTTACCTGGAAAATAACAAATTTGGATTTATATTTTTGGACAATTTTATAAATCTCTACACCTAAAATAACTCTAAAGTCATCATCTACCTTGTGATACCAAATATTGATCCCTGCTCGTGTGCAGGGGTGAATCTAGCAGGGTTTGTCGGGGTTAGGTGACCCCGACAAAATTTCTAAACTCCTCAATAAATTGCTACTGTGAACCGTGTCCTACTTGGTTATGATATGAAGAATATATCCACGTGTTCGCGTCCATTACGAAGTCATCGAAGCTCACGCATCTGTGTCAGATTTACGAGGTTCAATTCAAAAAAATTGACCCGATGCAACATTTAGGGACCGAAATGACACAACAGAACAAGTTTGAGGGCCTAAACGAGTGATTTGCATGTTTACGCACCGATATGACACAGACAAACAAGTTTGAGGACCTAGACGAGCGATTTATGAGTTTAGGAACCGCGATGACACAAATAAACAAGTTTCTGAACCTAAACAGTCAATTAGCTAGTTTAAGGACTCTTTTTAAATTGTATCACCAAAGCACACATTTATGCGCAGACGCCCCTCCCTTTATATATATACAAAAATCATATGAATGGTTTCCACTGGAAAACCTTCGTACATACCCAAACTGAAAACACCCTATCCTGAAGATTTTACAACATATCCCAGTCAAGACTCACAGGCACAGCACCGATGGCGCAAGGATACATCGATAAGCTCTCTTGCTACATCAGTGATGATACCACCCAATATGTTCTTCTCCAAATCCTTGACGACTTCATTCTTCTCGATCGGCAGGTCCCACACGCGGTTCCAACCGAAGTTCCACACCGAGTTAGCATCCGAATGCATGTTCTCCATGTCGCTGCGGAGTACCATCTTCAGGTTTTCAGCTGTGCTGTGGCCACTCTGTTGCTGAATTTTCTTGGGGATGGGCAGAGACTGAATATCGCTATCCAGTTCTCTGATAAGATCATCCAGCGTCTGTAGTTTCAGGTTAGCAGTGCGTGTAACGCTAACATCAACGATCGCCTCCGTTCGTTTGCCTTTCCTTCTGATCACTTCGCGTCCGATGTCTGCAAGAACCTTGTTGCCTTTGTCTAACCACTTCCCTGTGTTAACCTGAACCACGCTGACTGGGACGTGGAATCCGGTAATAGCCTTTGCGGTTTCAAGTAAGTAGGGATCCTTCAGCAACATTTCAGCAAGCAAGAGTTGATTCTCTGTGAAAGAATCACATGAAACAACATCCATCTTGTGATTTTTCAAATCATTCGGATTACTGGGCTTCACGATATGATCGAAACCTGCAACAGAAGCATAAGGTTATCCATTCAATAACAACAGCAATGATTGCACTAGTTCATCTGGCAAGTAGGTAGGCTGCTATGCTACGAGTAAACTACAGCTACTGGAAAAAAAAATCATATTCCTAAAAATTTTCTATAAGTAAACAACTGGTTGAGTGTGCAGAGGCCAACAATGAATCCCAGAGTATGTGTACCATTTATTGATTGACCATTCACTTCTTTCATTTGTTGCAGTTGCTGCTGCTGCTGTTCTCCCTCAGGAAATGTTTCCAGTGTCTGTATAGTCTCACTGACTGTGTGATTAACTCTGTCATCCTGCATGTTTGGACCAGCCACAAAAAGAAAACGCCATCAGACCGATGTTGACTTTCATGATAACTGATGCAAAATGCTCTGTTATTTAAACTTACATTTGTCTCAACAATTGATTCAGGAGTTGTCTGTGCTACAGCAGTGGTTGGATCATTGATTTCTTCAGTTAGTTCCTTTTCAGATTGGTATGACAAAGCCTCTCTAGTTGTGCTACTATCTTCCATCTCTGCTGCAGATTGCTCGCATAAACCATCATCACCGGGCGTGTTGTCTGATGGTTTGAAACTTCTGGTATCATCTACTTCTGTGCCCTCCCCATTCTGCAGTTCTGTCAGTGTAATGAGTTCAAGCTTCTCTTTCGTATGCGTTGGTTCTGATTTCAGTGACCTCTTCTGTTCTAGACTCTGAATGGCTGTTTCACTCTTCATTTGACGACAATTCTTCACCTTCTTTTCCACGATCTGTTTATCTGACGGCTTACTTTGTGCTTGCCTTCTCATTTGATCTGTGTTTGCAGCCTTGCCATTCTTTCCTAGAGCCTTGTTTCCAGGACTGGCAAGGTTCTCCGTGTTAAACTTTTCTCTCGTCTTCCTTGGCTTCACCTCACTGTCTCTCTGTTTTATGCCTGTGGTTTGCTTCTTTCTGAGCTTCTGTTTATTTTCTTCAACAATTGTTTTCTCTTCTGTGGCTGGTTTGTTCTTTCCATTCTTTGTAAACCTTTGGAGGAAATTCATCTTTCTTCCTGCACTGACTGTTGTCTTTTGCTGGCTGCTGTCTTCAGTCAGCTTCGTATCCTGATGAACGATTTTCTCATCAGTTACTTGGTTTACACTGACTCTTCTCTCTGCACCTTCCTGTTTGCTTGACATCTGCCTCATGGTCTGCCTTGTTTGTTTGTCAACTGTGAGATGTGAAAATCTACTTGACAGCACAGGTTCTTCAGACTTCGTCAGGCTAATATTCCACTCTCTTGTCTGAAAATTCTTGATCTGCCCTCTCGATGGCATCCTTTCTGAAGCTATAATTCGTATCGGTAATGTGCCAGCCATCACATTTGCCGCTGTCGATTTTCTTGGCACCGCCTCAGGTTTCACAAACCTCTCTGTCCCCTTGCGTTCTGCAACCGTCTTCGCTGATGGAAGATTTTCCAGCCCCATCAACTTGGCAATCAGACTGGGCATCCTCAACTTTGAACCATCCTTCTCGCCACTTGTAGCATTGCCCTTGCGATTGTTTGCAGCACCGGCGAACTGCAAGGGTGAGATGTGGTTCGGTTTGTAACTCTGAGACATGCCGTGAGGAACGATCTGCAAGAACGCATCTGACGGGCTCTTTGCATCGTCGGCCTGCTCGGTCTCTTCTGAATCACCGTCGACGATCTCTACCAGCCTTGCAGTAGCAGAGGCAGAGGTCGTCGAACGCGGCGCAGCAGAGCTCTTCCAGCTCTCTTTGCCCTCCAGCAGCAGCACCTTGCCGCCGTTCCCTGAGTTCCCCATTTCCATGTAGTCCGAGGCGTCCTGGAGCATCATAAGCATGCTGAGCGACTCCTCGAGGTCCATTGCGCCTCTGAGCAGCTGCTTCCCGATCTCAACCGAGCCCCTCCTCGCGCCGGAAGCACCGCCGGAGGAGTACGCCACGAGAATGTCGTTGAGCTTCTGGACGCCGATCGCCACCTTGCCGACGTGCGTGCCGGGAGCCAGGAGGTGGTGACGCGCCTGCGACGCCGTCCCCGTCCTGCGCGGCTCGCCGAAGAACACGGAGCCGCCGCCGGCGCCCTGGCGCGCCACGAGATGCACGTTCTGGAGCTTGCCTCTGTTGCTGAGCGCGAGGGCCAGCGCCATCTGCACGTCCACACAGCCGGCGTTGGCCGCGGGCGCCGTCTGCTTGCCTCCTCCTCCTCCTTGGAACGGCACGATGGCGTGCGAATGGGCGACGGCCGGCGCGTCATGGCGGCGCGGCGTCCCTGGTCTGGCAATGGAGCTGCTGTTGCCTTGCCGGCGCTGCAAGTGCAGAGGAAACGTAAACATTGTAAACGAGAGGTAAAATTAAGCCGGTACAGTAACTCAGTAAGATCGTT